GAACTTCAAATTTCGTATTTACAGTGACGCTTAAACGCCATATTCTTAAAAGCTATTCAAATTTGTAAAGGAAACTTCCCATATATGACGAGGTTTTACTCTTCTTTAATATTCCTCAATAAATACATTGGTTCTACCATTAAGAAACTGAAATATTTTTTTAATGTACAAGGTATACAACTTTGCTTCCGCCGTTTTTTCCTCAAAACTATGACCCTTTATTGGGAACAAATGCTTACACAGGTATTATTCAAAGTAATGTCCATCGGCTGGGCACAAACATTTCCATCCTTTCCGCCAGTGTGCGAGCGCGTCGAAAAAAAATTGTCATCTTTGGAGGCGATCCACGAATCCAATCCACTTTTGACATCTTCAAATTGATCGGACAGTGTGCCTCAGCCAGGTCGTGGGCCACTGGATACGGAACAATTGATAATCAGAGGGAGCAACGTTTGGAGAATACGGGCGGGTGGGTGGACGTCCGCATTTCAACGTTTCCAGGTACGTTTTGACCACTCTTGGCAACGTGGGGCCTAGCGGATTGTCATGCAGCAAAAGTCACCTTAGTGCTCTCGCTGTATTCGAGTTTTGTCTTTCAATTTGCTCGGTCAAACGCATTTAATTGCGTTCGGATATGATCACACTGTTGATTGTTTCACTTGTTTTAAAGCTCATGGTACATCGACGCGAGCTGGTCCACCCAAATGCAGAGCATTGATCTTGGAACCCATGAATGTTGGTTTGCCGTCGACGTCGGATGCATGGCCGGGATTCCCCCATGATTTTTTTTTTCCGGGTTTGGGTTATCGTAATGACCCTTTATTTTTCAATCCCCGGTCACAACCGATGCAGAAAAACCCTTCGTTTTTGCCTCTGAAGCAACTGATCAAAAACACACAAACACGCCTTTCAATGTCCTCGGTTTCACACTCATATGGGACCGCAAGTGTCTTCTTTCTGAATCTACCCCATGCTTGAGACGGTTTTATAATGCTTGCTGTGTACCCAAGGATCGTGCCAAGTTCTTCTTGGGAGTTTGGACGCGAGCTTACATCAGCAATGCTCCATCTGCATCCTCCAAAACTTTCACTCTCCGCCACTATGCCGTCTTCCCAGTTAAATCCCATTCCTGAAGCGTTGAGAACCACTCGCGCATGTTCTCTCACTAATAAGGTCTTCACATAAGGTATGGACAGCACTTCGTGAGACTAGCCTCAGTTTTTGCTCAGTATGAAGACAAAAAAGGCAAGCGCTGCCGCAAAATGACGAGAATTCGGGCTCGTACCCTGACATTTATCAATCGCAACAACGGTTACGTTGCACACACAAATCCACTAATTTGAAGGGATTATGTTGCCGAAGTCTCACAGCTAACTGCCTTGGAGGGTTTTGTTCGCGGATTCGTTTTTATCGGCGGACGGTTACTTACCACTGTAGCCAACTATTGAAAAACGGCGGAAGCAAAGTTGTACACCTTGTACTTTCGGTGACGATATATGGCAAGTCCAAAAAGTTAGCCATCAGGCAACTTCTACCGGCAGGACTGAGAAAGACGCGAAAGGCAATGAGGTATTCAAGATAGGCGCCAGGATATAAAAACCCAAGTATAAATCATTCACTATCGATTTTCTTCTAAATTGATATTCCCCAATCGATCTGGCTGATGCTGCGGCCCCTGGATTTTGAAACCGATATTTTAATTTTGGGGGCTACTTTTCATGAAGTTCCTCGAACATTTCAAAAAAATGGAAGCAAATTTGTTGCGTAAGCGATAGCGAAATGGACTAAAGAGAATGCGGCAGGTCTCATTTTCTTTGAAATTTAAGATTTTTTTTAAATTGCAAAAAATTCAAATTTTTGGGGGATTTTCCTACAACTAAAATATTGGAGATTTTCTTCTAAATGAAATCTGTCGTTAAAGACAGATCTTAAAATACGGTCTTGTTCAACTTTTCGAAAATGTGAGTTTTCGAGTAATTTCGTGCGAATAACATTTTTTTCGAAAAAAGCTCCATTTTTTCTTTTAATTTCCCTACTCATAGATAATAAGGGATGGTAAACAATAATATATTAGTCCCATTTTCAGCTATCTCACCGTTTTGCCTCAGCTCAAGTCTGTTTAACCCTCCGTAAACCACGTGGATAAAAGTTACGTCCTGCACCACGTGGGGTTTCCTGGACCCCACTCATTAGCGGAATACAGATCGCGTAATATTTAATTATTTGTTTATATTATGTGCGGATAATACTTTTGAGTTACTTTTGGATAAAATGAAACAAACTTGTCAAATCAAATCATTTTACTACTTAAATACAAAAAAAAAAAAAGAAAAAATTGTAGTCTTTTTTACAAGCTTTGCACTTTTCTATGGTCTAGCCTATATTAAGGGAAAATAATTAGAAGCATATTTACATTATTTAATTTAAATTTATACATAGTAAGAATCAAAAAAATTAGTAAGAACAACTTAAATATAAACGGTCTTTGTGTGTTCATGGTTGATTATATTCTGCACAATTTTTGCAGTAAAGCTGCGCGTGCTCCAAGCATAGAGGCCCATCACATCGCTCACAACCGTACTTGGTCTTGCGATCTTTGTTCCTATCGCATTCTGAACACCTTGTCTTTGATCCCGGTTTCTTTTTGGCGTCTTCTGAGGCATTTCACCTAGGAAGTCATATATTCTCTTACGAGAATCCTTCGGAATCCGTGGATTGTCTTTGCGAATTCTCAAATGTTCTTCTAGTTAAGACATTCCCAAATTGTGAATAAACTTCCTTCTATGATTCGTTTTAACTTTTTCAAGCCCATTGTTTACCATATGTATTATCATTGCATTGATTCCCGCGTGATCGAGCATGGAAAAAAAATTTTGAGTGGCCAGCGCCGGGAATTACGAAACACGTCGAAGGTTCTGGCAAGTTAGTCGACCACATCCACTCCACTTTTAGTTGAATTGTAAAATGTAATAATCGACGGTTTTCTCTTGTTTCTGTCTTGTATCTTCATCTATCTCTTGGTCATGGTGTAGAGACGACATGACATACACGTGCTTGCGTGGCTTCGGTACATAAGAAACCAGCGTGATATCTTTTTGGAAACCAAACTGCGAAGAATGTGTTTCTCGTGGTTGCTTGAAACACAGCGGTATGAATCTCTTATTGGCTCTCAAAGTACCAACTACTGTTAGTTTATGCTTTCGCAGTAGATTTTCAGTAGCTTCGTGACTAGTGAAAAAATTGTCCATTGTCATATTTCTCGAAGATCCAGAAACACAGTTCCCCACACGATCGACGACGTCAAAGGGCTTATTGCGGACAGCAAAAGGACTATTTTCTGGTTGTTTACCACAATAAATTTCTAAATGCATGGTGTAAAATGTTGTAGCATCCACCAAAGCATAAATTTTTATTCCATATTTAGCTGGTTTTGATGGAATAAATTGACGAAACCCACATTTACCTCGAAAGGCAACCAACTCTTCATCGAGTGTTAGATACTCAAAAGGTGTATATGCATTTCGGCAATTCTGATCGAAGATTTCATATGTCTCGGATTGGTGCCAAACGATCAGGCTTTCTTCTTTCTTCTCTAGTCACAACATTATCAAATCTCATGTTGTTGAACAAAAACGAAAATCTGTTTTTTGTCATCGTGAATCGAAATATTTCAATCCCTGTTCCATCAGGAGCCCATAAGTCATTCAGATACTGTCTACCAGAACGAAACAATCCAGCTAAAAACAAAAGTCCTAAAACTGCTTTTGTTTCAGATTTAGTTGTCTCTGCATAGAGTGCATTTAGGTTTTCGTCTGATGCCTGAGGTCTAGATAAGCATATTTTTTCATTGGTATATTTTAAAACCAATTCTAGTATGTCATTAGAAAGAAATACTTGAAAGCAATCCAAGTAAGTAGTCTTATTGTATTGGCTCTTTACTCCTGGTAAATGTGTAATTATGTTTTCATTTCTTGTACGAACGTTAGTCCGTTGCGGTTTCTTTAGCCATTTTGTTTTGCAATCTTTACCAACATAAAATTGATTTGAAGTAGAAGACTCACCACCGGAAATAATTTCTTCCGCTTCCTTTTCACTTTCAGATTCAGTCTGAACACTCAAATGATCCGATTCGTCTTCGCTGCCAGTTAAAAAGTAGCTCATCCATATCGTCATCACTTTCTTCCATAGGAGCGGATGCAATTTCATTTTCATTCATCCGATAAGCCATTTTGAATCCTAAGCACCGGTTAATAAAATTACAATCGAAACAAATAAAGATTTATGAAGAAACAGGCTATTTTATAAAATACTACTACTTACGTTTTACACAACGTCCTGCACCACGTGGGGTGTGCGGGACCCTGACTCACTTTACTCTAGCGTCTGTACTCTTCGCTGGTCAGGCGATCACTAAATCGCAACAGGTAAGGGGTTTGGCAACACCGCACCTCCAGCTACACAAAGCGTCAGTGCTGCCATGCGAATATTCAGAGTTACAGCGATTTTTATTTTACTGCGGTCTGTTCTGGGTCTGTTGGACCCCACGTGGTTCACGGACGGTTAAAAAAGCAGCTCTTTAAAAATGGCCAGATACACTAGTTTGAAAAAACTAGCAGTTTTTGTGTTATTTGCACTTATAAATGTAAGAAAGTTACAAAAAAAATATTTTCTCAAAAATCGTTCCATATTTTTTCTGTAATTTTTTTTTCCCACGAATATAAGGGATGCTAGAAAGAAATGCTTAAGTCCCATTTTCGTTGAACCGTCTCCGTATTTTTGAAATTGCAAAAACTTAACATTTAGAAACGGAAGATAGGGATTTTTCTTCAACAAAATCTGTTCTTAAAAATAAGTTCATTAAAAATGGTCATGTTCATTTGTTTTTAAAAAAACTAGTATTCAGTAAATTTCTGCTTGAATCTAATGAAAAATTAATTTAATTTACCATTAAAAATCTCAATATTAATTTGATTTTTACTCTACAATTTGTATTCTTAACATATTTTCTTTCAAGCAATCCACAAACTTTAACTGAAATTACCATTTCAGTCTTAAAAATAAGAATTAAATGTAAAATTAAAGAAAAATTGAGAACCATAATTGTGTAATTTTCATTACATTAATTGTACCGCTGTACGCTGCATTGGCCACAATTCTGTGATTGATATTTCAGAAGTTCATTGTTGAACAGCAACATGGGAAAGATCTCTACATTCATTAGAATGAAGTATTCAACTGCATTAAAGTTGGTAAGTTTATTCAGATATGCATGAGGTAATGATATCGTTTCGAATGCATTCATTATGCAATAGATTGGATGGCCTCTAGTTCTGGATGTTCAATTTATATGTCAAATTGTCCTTGCTTGCCTTATGACATGTTATATGATGTGCTAGAAATAATACACGCAGTTACAAATACAGGGAAGTATGTGCTGTTGTAGTAACACTTAATTTATTTATCAAATCCGAAAAATGTAAGGTTTTTTTTTTTTTTGGTCAATATGGTTTTTTGACATGTTATATACTTCAATTGAAAATTAATGAACATGATCACTTTCATATTACATCCCTCCCATGTGAACATCAATGGCCACTAACCCAGTTTTAAAAGTATCAAAAGTTTGAGGGGTTGATGTTTTGTTGGCGATGTCTGAGGGTGAAACATAAATGGAATGGAAGAGACTGGAAGATTAAGAAATGAATACATTAGAGCTTTCTTTGCATTCCAACAGGTCCCACTCATGAGGAGTGGACACGCTTCTTTTTTCTTTGCTTCGTCTTGCAAAATATATGTATGTAAGATTATATACCACATTTAGGTAATTTAAATCCAATTTGAATGTTCTTGCAATTTTTACTCAAACAAATCATATTCCACAGAAAATAGAAATTTTAAAAAGTCAATAATAGAAAATTGTTTGTAACTGTTCTCTAATGTCTGCCTGTAATTTCTTTGAAAATAAGAATTACATAGCTTGTGAAAACATACAACTTTTGTTAAAAAAGTGATAAGGTCTAAAGACAAATAATATATGAAGCTAGAAATGAGCATGATTAGCCTTTCCTAAAGGAACTGTTTTCAAGAATTACAGAAATAAAAGGGGTCGTAGTTTCCATTTCTGAATCACAGGATTGAAGCCATGGTTTTATAACAAGTAGTTTGCTGAGCACTGAGGGGGCACCTTTGTTACCTGAAAGAACACCGATTTCACAAATAAAATATATTAACAATTAATTCTACATAAGTAAAAACGCATTCATTTTACCTTTTGTTTAAAGGCATCTTCAGTATATCACAATTGAGAGATGGCTTGATAAAAGATAACAAAGAATAAGTGTTTATAATTATATTTGTAATATATCTATAACACCATATGAAGAGCACATCTCTTCATGATATTAGAATATGCCATATAATAAATTACAAGATAGGCTATATACACCATATATCCCCAATCAAAAGTCAGTTATTACATAAAACAGAATGTCTGAATTTTTTTCCAGGACAATAAACGCTAAATCGGGAATCAATGGTCAGAGAATTATTTGATTCTTGAGGCAATGATAAAGTAAAAAAATAAACAAAGACAGCTTCCACGAAAGAATTTCTTCATTTACTGTCCCAGTAGGACTTTTCATATTGCATTATCCTGTGACATTGTTGTAGTAAAAACACAGCAATAGCACATCAATGCAAGCAAGACAAATTCAATACATCCATGAGAAAATGAATAATATACCCTGCACTTCACTGTTAATGAGAAAGAAAAATTTTTGTAACATGTAATATACTATGATTTAAATCAGAACATTCTTGCAATATTTGATTCAACTAAAAAAACAAATAATTTTACCATATGTGAAATAATGAAATGCTCTACTTGTACTTCAAAAAATTTGCAATACTGGATATATTGATTTCAAATGATCTTAAATCACAATAATCTACAACAAAATGCATGTTAATGGTTTTGTGAATGAAGCTAACGTACAAGATTCTTTAAAGTTTGTAATGAAAAAACATTGTGCACTTTACAAATTAAGACTTATACAATAAACTTGACAATGAAGAACACGTAAAGAAATAACATAGAAATGACAAATACATTGCAGTAAAATCACTTTTATACTTGTAATCTATTTCTAATGTGCAAACATGAAAAAATGTTAGGCCATTAATTTTTAGATCTTTACTTCCAAAAAATGAAAAAAGGAAACCACACAAATCTTTAACTTTATAAATATTAGAAGAAAATCCAAGACAGGGAGACAAATAGAAATAATTTCATACTTTTTTTTTTTTTTTAACTTCGCATATTCAAATGCTACTTGGTGTCAAGAGTTAGATGCTCATCATCATAACTTTACACATTCATCACAATTTGTTATTCACAGTAAAGCACTCAGTATAAATCTTAAAATGTACATGCCTCATATTCATGACACTTCCTCTTGTGCTTGCAAATACATGCAATTTTTGGTATCAATCACACTTATCACTTTTAACAAATGTAAATTCGTTCAATACACATTAATTTGCAGAAACATTCATACATTGTTACAAACATTCCATGTAAAACTCATCTACAGAAATAATTAATGCATATTTATAAACAAGATCATTAACATGCTCTCTAAATGAATACTTTGTCTTTAACACATTTATCATTGATACAGCTTAATTGGAGAGAGAATATCACTGGGACATGAGAATATAAAATAAGTCCTCATCTCTCATATTTATCACAAGCAATTCAAGGAAACTACACCACGATGTCTTTGGAAAAAGAAAGAAAAAAAACAACAACAAAGTACTATTCACAAAATTCAAGGTACCAAACAAAAAAAGAGGAAACCACAAAATTAATTATTTTCCACATGTGCTTGCCCTATTATTATGTTAGTGAGAAGCAAATCAAAACACTACCTTGAATTGAGTGTTAAATACATCAAGATGTGTGTATTCTTAGTGTCATGGACAAGTTACACTATAAAATATCATTTCCCATCTCTATTGACAAACGTACCACTAAAGTCATTACTTTTCCAACAGTAACCTAATGTGAGCTATGTATTAGCCTGTGGAAACCCAACTGCATAATGTTAAGGTACATGCCAGATAAATTCCATTTACAAAACTTTTATACCATGAAATATTCTAAACATAATTTCCTCCTACTTCCTTAAATTGGAACATATCAAAATTCCAAATTTACATAAGCTAAATGCACTAAAAAGGATTGTAATATGTTGATTCTGTAAATATAGTCTGAAACTTGCTACCAGATAACACACAACCACCAGCCTAATTTGAATGTCGTGTCTCAGGTCTACTTCAAATTCCTTTTGCTCAAGAGTAATATCGTAACAACCCATTTCTGCACATTGAGATACTGGAAGTTCTATGCCATTAAAAAGGCAGTTGTAGTGCAAACTAAAAACTTTATAAACTAACACACATTAAAACACCATAATAAGACAGAAGAAAAGTAGATGCTTCAAAGGTATCTTTCATAAACTCTAGTGAGTTCTTAAAAACATCAGCATTTTGTACCCCCTTCCAACATTCTTAATCAAATGTTTATCAAAATTTTAAATAATTTTTGCATTCTTTGAACTGCAAAAAACATATTTTTGACAAACAATAAGTTAAGCTTGCTTTTGTCAATCAAAATGCTTTTAGACACATACCAAGTCATAACTAAGACAATGAAAATAATTTTTACTGTCTAACAAAGCTGCAAATTCCCATTTTACACAACTTTAATTGAGAAAAGCACAATATAATAAAAAATATATTTTATGAAAATTCAATACACAAACTTACTGTGTAATTACATATTTTAATAAACTGAACGCAAATTTTTGAATAATAAATTGGAACCGACACAATTGCTGAAAACACATTTCACATAATCTCAATACTAAGTGAATAGAATTTTATTCATTAGACCACCACATGTAGACATCACATCTGATTTAATTTGAACATACTAATTCAAAGTAATAAACTAAAATTTCTCTTAATTTTCATTTAATGTGCATTTGATAAAACCTTGCTGCAGAAAATAAACATGAATGACTTATTGATATCACATATTACTGAAGAATGAAATAGCCCCAAACATTTTTTTTAAAATTTGTATTTATTGGAATGACTTATGAAGCAATTCAAGATGAATCTTCACAAAATTCACACCACCTTCTCCTCCTCAAAAGCTGAGAGATTACATCATCTTGTAAAATTCAATACAGCCTGATATGAACATCCACTTCCTGAAGGATATAAATGTCAAAGTGGCATGTTAAAGTATAATACTAGAAATATAGTCTTTCTTTAATAAACAGCAGATGGGAGAGCTTACAAATATAGAGTACAAGAAACACATTTCCCGTATGCTATGTTACTTTTTTAAAGTTAAAGAAAATCAATACACACAAAAATAGTATCGCACTTTTATGAGTATTGAAATTAACTTCAATTATATATATATATTTATATTTATGTATATATGTACACAGTTTCAGCATTTTAACAAACTGGCAAATGTAATGCATTTTATTCACAACTATCAGAATATTTATTTTAAAATATTCCATACAGTCACTCATCTGCAGATAAATTCTGAAGGACGATTCTGGAAACTTTTTACCATGTATCAGCAAGTTTCAATTTAAATCCTTACAATGAGATCGACACCAAGATGTCTTGGGGTAGTGAATGAACTATTTCTCTCCATACAAAGAACTCTCACCACTGACCTATCCCCATCAGACATGAAAATATACCTGATGCAAAGGTCAAAATCTACATGTACTGCATTTATCAGAATTAAAATGGCACCATACTTCCTGTTCCAAAAGTATTTTTTCAAGTATTCCTTTACTAGAGAACTCAATTTTCAGAAAAAAATCACAGTCAACTTCACTGACACCACCACCATCATTGTCATTATCATCAAAACGTGAGAAGGCTAGGAACAGCACCCAAATTTTTATCCATTAAAATGCTAAAAGCACAAAATGAATTATACTTGGCGAGGTACGCTTGTGATCCTGACAAAAAATAAAGCAAAGAACACAAAAAATGAGATACTTTTGAATGTCAGAACATGCAAGGGAAAAACTCAGATTTTCCTATTTCTTGATAAATTCTTCAGCACATCTGCACAGGCTGTTACACTTGTCTTTTGACATTTTTTTAAAATTTATTAAAAGAAACAATTGTCCCTTCGTGAATACAACTCAATTTCTGCTTTACCAACATATATAAATGTGCCTCACGCTTTTCTTCTACACTGGCAGATAAAACAAAATATATCAAGCAGAATCAAAACAACAGAATACATTTCTTTTCTAATTCATTCTCCAATTACTCTGGCTTACCCACACATGCTTGATTTTGAGCATATAATTACACAATGTACTATCAACATTTTCATGAAACAAACAAAAAAATTCATGTTCAACAGGAAGCCCAGTAACAAATTAATTTCTTTTATCAACCTTTGCAAATAATGATATTTCTCGGCATGGTCTGGTACAAAACTGGACCAGCAGTGGGTGGTGACAGGAGGGAGAGGCGGTCTGACTCAAATTCACAGACGTAGGCTAACTATCACAAGACAAGGCTTTGGAGCTCCTTCAGCAATTCATCTTCTTTTTTGATTTTTTCCACTTGATTAAGCTCAAGCTGCCGTCCAGCTGCTCGCAACTCTTTCAATCGTGAGATCTCTGTCAGCTTCTACATGGAAAAAAAAATGAAAGAAAAAGAAATGGATTAATAAAAGGCCTTTTGGTTCAGCCTCTGCAAGTTTGATAGGGATTTGAACACAAAGAATCATAATTCACATTTCTTGCAAAATGTGGCAAAACCTTCCTGTGCGATTTTAATACCAGTATGTAAGATGAAGTATTTTCACCTTAATATTTCATTTGAAAAATACACGATTTGACTAATTCATGCAGATTAAGCTTAGTTGGTTGGGATCTGTTTTTACATTATTTACTTTCCTCATCAAGAAACTTGAGCTGTAATGAAAAGCTTCAAAGATGAAAAAGAAAACACCAGTAACTAGAATACAAAATTATATTTGTGGTTATTATCCTCCACAAAGGGGGTAGCAGAATAAGATAGGTAAAAGTGTCCCGGGCATAAACATTTTTTATGTTGAAATTTATCATTTATGTTGACTTTAATCATTCTTGCGATTTTCTATAGATGATAAAGATGTTTGAAGAAATTTTTCAGATGTTTATATCCGGTTTTGATCCTTACAACAGCAAAAAACAAGGAAAAAATAGAAATTTCTTTTTCCTTCATTTTTAAGAATGTCTCATGTTCTGAAGCAGATCATAAAAAGGGCTAAATACAATTTGTAGACCCGCAAATTCTCCACAGTTTCTCAAAATTTCAACCTTTTATCTAACAATTTGTACCTGACAGCTCAATATAAATAAAACATTAATTTTATAGTTTATTTATTTTCTTAAAATTAAGTTTGGTTTTATTAATTTTCGTAGATTGTCTATTTTTATTAGAATTAGAAAAGATTTTGGATATAGAAAGTTTATTAGAAAAGATAAATAATGAAAACCAAATTGTAAGAATAATAATATAATCTATTGTATAAGTGTTTTGCGCTGCAAATAAGGAGAAAATTACTGTGTCATGAGATGCAAATATTTTAGAAATGTTTAGCTTATTGTTGACTTATCACCAGTAATTCACAATTAGAACAATGTGCATTTTATGTCCAAGTTGGCTATTACACCAATTAGTAAGAAAGAGTGGACTCCCACAGCTGGAGTCAGTGGCTGTGGTTGTCTGGGGTACACATTGCAGGGCAAGTTGTATGATGGCCAAAACATTGGCATCATAAAACATGGCATGTCTTGGACGACCAAGTAAATATAATGCAGGAAGTTTGCAATTCTGCAATGACCAACAGTTGTCTTTGATTCCAGATATCTTTTTGGTAGTGTAAGTGTTAATTCATTGAAAAGAATTTCTATGGATGTGCTAATTTAATTCCAATTCATAGTCATAGAAACTTCCTTTTGAAACAGTTGATTTTTTTGACAGATCAGCAAGTGCCAATGTTTTCATGCAATTACCTTTTCTTTCAAAAGAATGTTTCCTAGGTACTTGCAATACATTCAAAGAATAACTAGCAGGTGCAAGGCCTTAGAAGCCACTTAATTTCACATTAAGGGGAGACTGACTGTCTTATCTTGCCTAAGTTAAATTGACTATATTTATGACCGCATATATCCGAAACTACTTTACTTAGAACTTTGACATTTTTACAGTAATTTGTGTGACTATTCATTATTATAATTAACCAGAATTATTTTAATAGGATATGATAAAACTGGTTTATAGAATTATAAAAAAGAATTGAAAATATTTTTAAAAATTAAGTCACATATTAATCCATAGTTCACACAATTTAGCAATCTATTTCATTATTTTGTTTACATAGCTTAGTCATGTTTACAAAAAGCTATCCTGACAATTTTATCTTTATATATTTAATAGTTTCTGAGAAAATGGGTCATATGCGCAAAAAAATTTTTCAGGAATGAAAGTTACAGTTAAATGTAAATTTTCTAGTGTAACTTGCACTAAATGATAGAACACCTTCCTTTTCTTCATTATTAACTAAAACTGCCCTCTTCTTAACTCTTGCCTCTTTTGTCAACATTTTTCTAACAAACAAGGTATCCTTCCCTAGAAAACTGAACTTTTAACCTCATTAATGTAGAGAACAGATGTAAACAATCTGTTACAAAACTACATCAATAGCTATGTTACAATTGTGACATTTTCACCATCATGAAGAACAGAACCTCTTATAAGACTCTACATAAGTTACAGACACTAAGAAAATTAGGCTGACTCAATAAACCAAAATCAAGAGTCATAACAAAAAAGACATGCCCCAAACTGGCTGCAGAGAGAGAGAGAGAGAGAGAGATTTAAACATTTGAAAAACCCACTTCTATATTGAATTTGGCAATAAAAGTCATATCATTGCGTTCAAGAAAGCCTAAATAAATAAATTACTCTAAGTTTTAAAATTGTCAAAATTTTCATTTTTGCTCTCAGACTTTCCTGAAAGGTTAATCCATTTCTTCTGTCCTCGGAAAAGTATAAATGAGTTTTACTGAATTGTAAAACAAAAACAAACAAACAAAAAAACAACAATAACAACAACAAAAACACTTACACTCTTCAGTTTCTTAATTTTTTTGTTCTTCTCAGGATCATCTGTCAGTTCAGCATCAGCAACAGCTGACGGAAGCTTCAAGCTTGTACTGCCAGATACATGAGACACTGAAATTGAATCTCCATTGGTAACAGCTGTTGTGTTTTGCTGATCTTGCTCTTTCTTTGCCTTTTTTGCTTCTCGTTTCTTCTTCTGCTTTAGTGCTGCTTTCGAGGGGTTGCCTGAAAATGGAAGAAAATATAACTGCAATAAAAGAAAAACAACTTATTTTTAAGCGCTTTCATGCATAGAAAAACATTCTTATATGGAATGCATAAAGTTTATTTCAGAACAAATTTATTAGCAAATATTAGGTAAAATCTGTATTCAACAAATACTAATCTCAAAAGTGTTGCAAAGTAATGAAGCATAGCTCTCATCTTGTCGAATGAATCTGCCAATTTGCTTTCCTAACATCACATATTAAGAAGAAATCACAAGGGGGTATGTTTTTGACAGAATATCCCATAAAAATCTATCACTAAACATAATCTTCACAAAAAGGCACTCCACAAACGCATGTAGTAATGTACAAGAGAAGGATGATTATTGCACAAGACACAGCAATAGATGGATGAATGGTGATGCACGACTGTCTGTGATCTCTCTGGCAAAGGAGATATATGGTATGAGTGTAAGAGGTGCACGGTATCATGTCTACACTCTAGGGTTTGACATAGCTTACAAGATTGCAACAACAGCTATGTGATGTTGCCAGATATTATTTATCCACCCTCTTACTCTTGAAGGGGCTTGTAGGGCTGAAGGCCAAGTTAGCCTGTAGAGTGTCCTGAGCCATTTTTTTAAAAAGTCCTTTATGTATCCATGGATATTGCAGATTGACTAAATAATTGTTAAAAAAGTTTGTTTTATTTCAAGGAAAAGTACGCGAGAAATACTCATATTTTTGAAGATTTAGCTGCTTTTTCAATAGCAGAGCTGGACAATAAGAGTTTTTCTGTCAAAAATCACCTATTTCCACTGCAGCATGATAATACTTTCCTTCTTACTACATATGTATGTATGAGAAAGTAAAAATTGGATTTGGAAATGCATATTAAACTTTCCAGACCCATATACTAAAGGAATAGTACACCACGTCGAAAATGTGATATGCAACTCCCAACCTCTCCCACTCTAGATATACAAACATTTATCACACTACATATAAATAAGTTGTTTCAAATTTTGAAATAAAGCATCTGAAACATTCAAAATTTTATCCAAAACAAGAAATTAGATTTCTTCTGAAATTTTTTTTCGGTATAATGAATCAGCAAAATGTTACACAGACATATTTTAAGATTGCAATTTTACAGTCAAAATACAGTGCTCAAGAATGTTCGGTACTTCCTGCAACGTTTGAGCAACAGCAGGAACAATTATAATAACTGCACATTGTCATACATCTGTCCATTTCTGTATCTCCTGCAATAATAGTATTTCATCTATGCAAATTAACCAGAGATCAGCAAAAAATACTTGCTATTGCTTACATAAAAGGCATTCAAATATTTGAGCACAATTTCCAAATAAAATGTTCACATAGACTAAGTCCAAGTGACTAACACCATTTAAACAATCTAATCTGAGTGTTACTGATTCCTGGCAAGATGCTACATTCTACGCATGGAGAGGTGTGCATGGACCACCTCAAGCCACCTCCACTGCAGCGCCTCTACCGAGCGGCGAGGGTGGGGGCTAGCAAATCGGCGGGTCAAGGTGAAGGGTTGGGCCAAGGAGAAGCCCGCAGAGGGAGCAGGGAGTGAGGGTGGGCGACGCCACTCACAGTCACCACCTTGCTTCGAGTTGCTGGGCAGCTCCTCGTCATCATGCAGTTTGAAGTTGATCTCTCGGCCTCGTGCTGAAGGTGGTCGATATGCTTGCTTTGAAGCTGTAAGAAAAAACAACACACAATTAATAACTTCACAAACTTGAACATCCAAAAGAGTGCCCAGAAAAATGAAATCCCAAAAAAAGTACAAATTACTGTACAACCTTGCTAAACCCATCCTTGGAAATCCGAAATTTCAGATATTCTGAACAAAATTCTGGATGGAAGAAAAATAAACAAAATAAATAAAATGCTTTGTAGTGTAAAGAAAGGATTTTATTATCACTATACAACTGAACAACTAATTAATCAAACACAAGTCGAAATCAAATTTTTATTGCAATGGTAACTACGGTGTATATCACTTGTTCACGTAGCAGTAATTTTTACTTAGAGGAACTTGGAAAATTGGCAATCTTCTTTTGGCATAAGGAACTGAATGTACTTCATAATGCAACGTGATGACACGATCATGCTACATTGCCATTTTCCCACATTGCACGCTATGTTGCATTGTCTGGTAATCCTAGCCTAATAACTGCCGCAAAGCATGGCAGAGCAGTTGGATTTACTAATGCGGCGTTCTGAATCATAGGTGTGCAGATCCAGCTTACTCTCAGTATATAAGGATTGTAAAGG